ACTTTCTTTCCCCGCCCCCCGCCACATCCACAGGTTTGCCTCTGCCAGTCTTAACGTTGCCTTGCTGGTAACATTCAGTGAACTCCAGTTCTCATACCTCCTGCAGGAGCATTTCCCTGTGGTACCCAGCCCCTATCACTACACACACTCAGACATGACCAAGTCCACTGCCTCCAAAAGGGAAAGTATGCCTGCCAGCTTGCTAGCTGTAGTGAGGGCCTGTGCTTTCCTGTAATACATAATACTGAGGTGACGTCACAATAAAACCAAAAGTAAGTGTATTACTAATGAACAGAGACGTGAGTGACAGTAAGCAGAGACCACAGAAAGAGAAAATAGGTACAGATAAACCATAAATAAACACAACCATAAATAGCTCTTTCTGTTCCCTTGATTACTTTGTTTACTCTAGATGCAACTAAACTATCATTGTCTCTGGCTCACAAAGTTAGACTCGGGCAAATGGGCAAATCCATATTCCTTAGTCTAAGACAAATCTTCCCCGCCCCCCCTCCCCCCACTCTTCTCGAGTTGTTTGGTCTGTACCTATTTTAGACCAGATCTATACTACAAATCTAAGTTGGTAGAACTGTATTGCTCAAGGGCGTGATAAATTCACACCTCTACGCGACAGTTATACTAATCTTACCTCCTGCGTTTAGCAACATTCTGTCGAAGGGAGAGCTTCAGTGTCTGAGCATTTTCTATTTTTTAAATTGAAAAAGACTTTGCTCTTGAATGGAAGAACAAGAAAGGGTGGTTGGTAGTTTCAAATTATTCTAGTCCGGCCATGGTGATCTCCTGTTGCTGCTGCCTTTCTCCTTTTCAATCAGTAAGGCGATGGGCCAGATCCTCAGCTGGGGGAAAGTGGCATAGCTCCACTGTAGCTACTGCACTTGAACTAAATTCAAGGACCATGGCCAGGGGAGAAATGGCCTGAGCTCAGCCTTAGGGTCCCTGCCACAGTGCCAGGATCTGCTGTGGCCAAGGCAGCCCTCCCCCAGCTCCAACCAAGCCCCACCTGGAACCTGCAAGGGCAGGCCTTCAGGATATGTGCCCCTCCTCCCAGCCCTGGACCTGCCACAGCAGGGAGAGATGTCTCTCCCTCCCTACCCAGGTACTGCTGAGAGGATAGTGTGTGTGCGGGGGAGGGATGGGGGGGGCGCAAGGAGGGAGAGATTCTCTCACCTCACAGTAGCCTGGGAGCACCCTCATTCACACCTAACTCCTCAAACCGAGCCCCACCCTATAGCTTACACCCCCAGCTGGAGGCCTCTCACACACACATATTGGTGCACATAAAATTAGTTTCAGTCAGGGTGGAAAAAAATTAGAGGGAAAACTGCACTTGCACACAGAAAAGTTTCAGGCGGCTTTCAATAACGCTGGTGTTAAAGCTCAAAGTTCAGTGACAACAAATTTGGGAAAACAGTTGTTTTAAAACTAAGTTATGAAATTGTTTAAGAAAGATCGCCTCTGTCATGAGTTCCCTCAGTGTTCATCTTAATGTTTCATTTGTTTCCAGACATTTACAGGTAATTTTGTCTATTGTGTTCAATCTGTGCTCCCAGACAATGTAGTGAAAACAATACTGGAGAAAATAGGTTACATTGCAACAACAGCAACCGAGTTTTCACTTGTCAGGAAGATAAATGAAGAGGAAACAAAAGAGACTGCATTTGAAATATTTCTTGCAAGAATTGAGTGTGAAACCATCCTTGAAATGACAAATGAAGCACAACACAGTGATTTGGGGGATATCCTACAGAAGAGAGCACAAATGCAATGGTATCATGAAGAGAACGAAGACAGAGAGAGTCAACCCTTCCAGAGAGAGGACCCTGAAAATCTGGGAAACAAAGAAAGTCATGAGACTTCTTCATGTCTTGGTGCTCAACAGAAGTCCTCAACTAACAGTGAGAAACCCTTTGAAATGGATAGAAATAGTAAGATCAAAGATGAATCCCATTTTAAATCTGCTGCTGCTCTGCCATGGTTAGCTCAATCCACTTACAAGCTTCAAGCATACCCAAGGCAAGTCAGTGACTCTGCACATTCTCATGGCAAATGCTCAGAGAGCGAAGATTTCTTGAATGAATACAGTGACATTGTCATAGGACAAAAGCCCATCTTCAGTGAGAATTCTTCTCTGAAAGCGTTTGGAAAGAGGCTAAGAGACGGTCAGAGTGAAGAATTTGTTTTGACGAACTCAACACCGTTGACAGGAAACGAAGCTGGCTCCACTCCACTCTCACCAGGGGCAAGCGGCCCACACGCCTTTGCAATATTTACCGATGTTCCTTCTGAAAGCAGAAGTGCCCTTGATAAATACAGAGCCCAAGCGGTCTCTGAAGAAACCATCGAAGCAAAAATCAGTGATGCCATGAATTGCATAGGCAGCCCCACAAATCCTGCAGATCAACCCCAGCAGCTGAAACCCCTGTTACATGGCAATACAGTCGTTACAGAATGTAATTCAACAAAGGAAGACAAAGTCTGTGAATTGTCTTCATCTTTTAGCAAACTAAAAATCCAGGAAGCTCACGATGAAGAACTTATGTATCCAGTAGAGGAAACAACACAACCTGAGTCTATAACGTATGTAAATACAAGCAATAAAGACATCCAAGAATGTAATCACTCCAAGATGAAAAGCATGTATCTGGCAAGTGTTCAGCCAACAAGTAAAGCAACCTTCAATGTTGGTCAGTCCTCCTCAAACCTACTTGGTAATGCCAGTGAGGACCCTCAGGGTCCTACCACTGGCTCAGACAAGAGACCATTAATGGATACACCTGTAACACATGCAGCTTCAGACGGCTTCAAACACATCAGAGAGCCACCTAATCTCACTTACATCCCTCCCAGAAGTATTTATGTTTCTCCTTCAGCCACTACCACCACCACAGTGGATTGTAGGAAGACACACTTACAGCCTGAAGGAGGTTTGCTTGAGTCCTCTTCACCTACAGACAAAGGAAAGTTTGAGACTTTTACTTCGAAAGTGAATGAAACTAACCAAGAGGACTATGTAATTGTCAACAAGGATGATTAATAAAGAATGCCAGGCCTGTATAATTCTGCTTTTGCTGTTGGTCTATAACACGCATGTATTTCCAGGCTGGTCTTGGTCCTCTCTTGAGCAAAGATTTGTCATACCAAAGCACATGGTGCTTTTGGGTAGTGAAGAAAAGGTCCATTAGAGTCTCCTCTATTTGTCTTCAGTGATGACACTGATACTCAGGTGCTCAGACCTGAATGGTCACCTGTTCTTAATTTGTGTTAAAAGTGTGGATAAAGTTACAAATGTATTTCATATGATGTTTAAAGTTAAGGCACTTCAGGCCCTGCTGTACTGGCTTCTGACTGGTTTCTCAAATGCATACACTGCCACTTTCTCTCTCAGACAAGTGATTCTTGCAACAAGGCAGAAAATTTCTTCAAATAATGCAATTGTCTAAAATGTTGTGCAATGGGGAAAATAGATAAATGGTTCCAAATTAAGGTTCACTGTTTATAACCTCTTCCATGCTGCATTAAAGTTATGTTTGAAACTCATCACATTTCAGTAAAGTTAGCTTTTCATCTAATATTCTTTTTCCTTGTTCAATCCTAAAATTGATTTAAGAAGTTCGGTAAAATTCTGTTTGGACATTTGAAGAAAATAACTTGAGATAAAACACTCTGCTGATCCATCTTCAGATGTATTTTAGCATTAGGATAATCCTGTATGTCTTCTCAGTGTACTTGATTCTATGCAATTCTAGGTTTTGATACTTGCCTTTGTTACCACCAAATAATACCAAAAAAGTATTTATTGGTCTTAGGCCCCAGTTCTGAAATTTGACTCTCACACAGACCTTTATGTCTGTACAAAATCTTGGTAAACTCAGTGGTGCTTGGCACAAGAAGAGGGACTTTCCTTCTGAATAAGATGGCTGGCTTGAGGCCTCAGTGAGGACTAGTGCCTTTAGCCAGTGATAAAAATTCTTTATAAATGAAGTTATAACCATTTGAAAACTACATGTTTCTCTTGTGCTATACATAAAGGCTGCGTCTAGACTGGCATGATTTTATGGAAATACTTTTAATGGAAAAGTTTTTCTGTTAAAAGTATTTCCGCAAAAGCATGTCTAGATTGGCACGGATGCTTTTGCGCAAAAAGGGCTTTTGGGCAAAAGCATCCATAGCCAGTCTAGACGCGATTTTGCGCAAGAAAGCCCCGATCGCCATTTTAGCCATCGGGGCTTTTTTGCGCAAAACAGTTCTTCGCTGTCTACACTGGCCCTGTTGCGCAAGTATTCTTGTGCAAGAGGGCTTTTTCCCGAGCAGAAGCGTGAAAGTATTTGCGCAAGAAGCACTGATTTTGTACATTACAAAGTCAGGGCTCTTGCGCAAATTCAAGCGGCCAGCGTAGACAGCTGGCAAGTTTTTGCGCAAAAGTGTCTGCTTTTGCGCAAAATCTTGCCAATCTAGACGCACCCAAATGGTCTATTAATTTTTTACCACTGTATTAAATTTCCACATTACAGGTACAGTCTCATGAACAAATACACCAAGATTTTCAAAAATACATGATGAAGTTAGATCCAAAGGTAGACTCCTAAATAAGAAGCATGAGTGCTGATCAGACATTGACTTAAATGAGAGTTGAATTGGTCATTTATCCAGGTGCCTGGTATCGTCAAGCTTAATCAGTCAGAAATCATCAGTCAGGCCCAAATGAATAGTGAATTTTTATTATATCTGTGTCTATATAATTCAGTTTCCTGCCTGGTTTTCTTGGTTTTGGTTCTTTAGGATTCACATTTTCAGATTTTTTTCCATGAGCACTAGAAAAACACTTAAAATGAAAAAAGGAAGTTGAGATTCTTAATTACATGACCACTTGGGATAACAAGAATTGACAATAATGTGACACTACCTTTAGGTTCCCTATCTGGAAAATCTTGGTGATTAAGTGTGCAAATACTACATTTATTTGAATTTTTGTTAATTTATATACACATGCCATTATCTGATATTTCATGTTAACACAAGTACATTTGCCTGCTGAAAGTATGTTTTAAAAAATAGTGCTTAGTTTAAAACAGTTTAAAAAGTGTACTCAAATGCTAAAATCAATATATTTCAGAAATCTTAAGCAATCTGTTTCTTAGTAAACAGTATTAGAACATATATTTCCAATACCAGAGTTGCTTATTTGTATATAGAGAAATATTTTCTGTTCATGTCTTCAAATTCTTTATAATCTCGCCATCTGGCCTGTAAAATTATGGCTCTGTACCTAGAGAAAAATAAAAACCATGATTCTTGCAGAATGAATGGAAGAGTGGGCTATCAGGAAAGTTGAAGAACTTGAACAGGGAAAGCTCTGTACTTAAGAGTCATTGGAGAACCCCTGCAATGAGAAAGTCTTAAAATCTTAACAGTACAGTGGGTGTAAAACCCTGGCACCATTGAAGTCAATGACAAGATTGAGAGAAAAATATGTTACACACACAGGAATATCTGCTTGTATGTCTTCCAACTCCACATTCATGTTCTTGCTAAACTTTATTTTGTTTACTGGTTTTTATAAGAAGAGTCATTGGAGAACCCCTGCAATGAGAAAGTCTTAAAATCTTAACAGTACAGTGGGTGTAAAACCCTGGCACCATTGAAGTCAATGACAAGATTGAGAGAAAAATATGTTACACACACAGGAATATCTGCTTGTATGTCTTCCAACTCCACATTCATGTTCTTGCTAAACTTTATTTTGTTTACTGGTTTTTATAAGAATCATTTCCCTGCCCCGCCCCCCCCCCTTAATTATTAAAGTTCCTCTTTTGTTTTAACCTTTGCAGCTAGCAAAAATGATCAGGGGAGCTCTGAATAGGAAGTTGAAAAAAAATCCCAACCACACATCAAGATAGGTGCTGTGGACACACAGGGTACACCTGCACGGCAGCTATGAGCAAGCTTCAGTCTGGGTAAAGAGTTTTGAACTAGCAGGGCTCAAGTGGCCATGTGAATAATATAGCATGGGCTGGAGTTTGGGCAACACCCACAAAGATATTTTCAGTATGCTACATTGGTCTCTGCCAGCATGAGTCTGCCTACCAGGGCAGATAGGCTTGTTTTCAGCTGTAGTGTAGATATCCATACACCTCTCTGGGCGTATGGATAACATTGCTGGAAGACAGTGGGTCTGAGTGGGCCAGATTTGCTAAGGGAGAAGACTGTAATAAAGACAATAGGAAATGTAAATTACATTTAGAAAAGAAGCAAGATGTATAGGACGCAAGACTGATGAACAAACAGAAAACATGAAAAAAAAAAGTCTGTAGGGAGCATTTGCCCCACTCTAGCATGGAAGCGATTAAAGCAAAGTCAAAGAGGCTGTGCCAACCCCCTGCAACCAGGAAAGGGCTTATTGCAAACCAATCAAGTAGAGGCTTGAAAGTAGCCAATCAGGGCCAGACTGGACCCTATGAGAAGGCAGCAGTGGTAGCAGAAGCTAGGAAAGCTCTTAAGGGATGACTGCCAGACTGGGGCCCTGACACAAAGGGCAGAGGTGGTGCTGAAGACAGTAGATGGGAGTTAGAGGAGGGCAGTAAGTGGCTGCTGCTGGAGGGGTGCTGGGTTGAAGCCCAGAGTAGTCGGTGGGCCTGGGCTTCTCTTCTTTCCTTCAACTTGCCAGCAGTGCGCACAGCTAAGCCACACTACACTTTGCCTGTGAAAGATGGGGTAGACTGAAGCCTGCAGTGAGCCTCTCAAGTGAATGATAGAACCAGCTGCTGCCTGTGCCCACTAACAAAGGCACATTGCTGAGAGCTAATTCCCGAAACAACCAGCAGGAGGTGCTGTGGTGGTGAGCCTGATCCCATTACAAGGTCTTTAACAGAGAGCAGCTCAAGCACACATCAGGACACCAGATCACAGTGCCATTAATGAACATGCTTCAAGGATACTAACAAACTATCCTATACTCTACTAACCCGTTTTGATCAAACACCTAAATTACACATAATCCAGTAACTCTAAAGTGGCCACATTCTGAAATTTGAACATTTAATGGCAAGGATGCAATTTGGGGAACTGCTTTAAACCAAGTCAGCCGTATTTGCACATTGGCCTTGAATTGTGTTACATTTCTGTGCCTGCAACTTTGTGGCTACGTCTACATTGCAGGCTTCTTGCACAAAAGGTCTTGCGCAAGAGCACGTCCACACTGCCATGTGCTTTTGCGCAAGAGCGTCCATGGCAGTGCGGACGCTCTATTATGCAAGAAAGCTCTGATAGCCATTTTAGCCATAGAGATTTCTTGCCCTGTCGCCTTCTTGCACAAGAGGGCTTATTCCTCGTGGGGAGAGGAGTAACTCTTGCGCAAGAAGCCCTCCGCTTTACTGTAAATTTACTTGTGCAAGAATGCACGGTCAGTGTAGAAACTCTGCAAGTTCTTGCACAAGAAGCCTGCAGTGTAGATGTAGCCTGTGTGTATTCTTGCTGCACCTATGGGAACTCTGAGATGGCCAAGTGGTAGCCATGTAAACAGCAGAGGATAGACAGCGGCAATCCGTAATTGTATTTTATAAGTGGGCAGAGAGATGATGCAGGGGAGGCGGGGAGAGGATGTAGGATCATGTTCCCCTCCCCTCCTCATTCAGATTTCTACCACTGTTTATATGGCCTGCCCTGAACCCAGCTGCATACCATCAGAAACTTTATAGCTGAGGTTTTCCAACTAGAGGGCATGCCCCCTGTGAGGGGAGCAGAAAAACAGTCAGCAGGCAAGTGACAATGCCAGGCAGCTTAGGCTTCCGCTCAGGGATGGCTTGCCACCTCCACCCCAGCTCCAGATTTTTAAAACCTCTGCTTTAAACTGTGCCTCCTACTATCAACAGTTATGCATCATCTCTGGATAGAAAATGGGGACAAGACAGCACAGGTGGTTTCTAAAAGGCCAAGCAATTTATGATCCCATTGGCCAGTCAGTGTACTCCTGCATACAAGTTCTAATGAATGATGCATCTCTTTGTGTAGTTAAATTACACCACAGTCGACACCTGAACTTAGCTGACAATACAAGGGCTGCATATGTTTTTCTAAAGAAACTATTTTTTTGGTAAAACGTGTGCATATCTTCTTGTGAATGGCTGTCTTTAATTGTGCTACGGCTGGTACTGATTATTTGTGGATTAAATGGGGATTTATGTATTGATTGGATGTCTGTCACAATATTGAGTCGCGGCCTATTCCCAAAGCTACACAGAGCTAGCCCCTTTGAATGGCTCAACTCCCATGCCTTGGATTACAAACATTCTCTTTTGATCACTACAAAAGCAGATCTTAGGCTGTAGAATCTGGTAGTTGGTGATACTACTCATTCAAGTTCTCCCTCTGGGTGTCCTGAGCTAGCCATTTTTCCACTTAACATTCATATCATACCAGTGACTGAGCTCTGTGTAAAATTAAAGGTGCTGAAGAAGCATAGGTTAGCTTTAGAACAAAATGTTCTTGAAAGACAAGAACCAAAAAAAAATTGTATTTCAGTGCAGGAAAGATTAAAAAACATTAAGTTAAGACAATGGGGAAAAAACACTAAATTATAATTTGTTTAGGGATAAGTAAGCATAGGTTTAGAAAGCAGGAGATTATGAACCATTATTTGAGGAAGAAACAAAAAAGAACTGACAGGAATTTAGTAGAGCTTGTGATACTGTCTGACATATTTAGGCTTCCAATGACGTATTGAGTCAGTTTCTATAACACAAAAATGTAGTTTCTAAAGCACAGTCACTTTTTTCCCCCCTCTGAACACTGGCAGAGTAGCCACTGACAATTTGAGTGCATAACCATAACAATGCCATTTTGGTGGTGTTTAAATTTACACAGTGAATTTGCAATCAAGGCTGAAAGGAGTAAAAACTTGCCTGCTCACTAAAAGGTTTCAATTAAGGAAAAAAAATAATTAATTGAACATTTCAAACATAGGGGACAATCTCCAAGAAACTGGCTGTTTTTTGTTCTCTAGGTATGCCCATCAGGTGTGTTTTCAGTAAGCATTCAGGTATAATTACTGTTCTCCTCTACCTTTTAAAATCTTTCATATATTTAAGCAGTTAGTAATGGTGGAGCTTGCTGTTCAGTAGCATACTAAAATTTTAGAATGGAACCAGTAGGCACTACATTCACATACTTTACAACATTAATTAGTATTGCACTCAGTCAGCATTAGACTGTATAAACACATACACACAAAAAGATGAAAATAATTAGAAGAAATTACCAGGATATTATGGAGTGTTCTCACCCCTCACCTGAAAGGGTTAAAGCAGTTGGGAAGGAGTTAGCCAGCCTGACAGCTACTGCTGGGGGAGAATGAGGCTGGAGAGGCAAGCCCTAATAGAAGAAGGATCCCACCTGGAAAGGAAAGTGGTGGCTAATGTAAAACCAGGAAGCTGGCAACAGAAAGATGCTGTAGTGAGGAAGCTGCTAGTCATTTTCTGAATGTCAGATAAAGAAGGGAGGAAGTGCAGGGAGAGAGTAGAAATGCCAAGGATCCAGGCTTTGAAGGAAGCATTTACCCAAAATCATGGAGGAGTAAAAGCCAGAGAAAGAAGTAGGAAAAGGCTCAGGGAAACAGCAGCAAGGTTTAGGATGGTACAGACCTTGGCATTGGATTAGAGGTTCTCTGAGATAAGACTCTGGAGTAATGGGTGGGTCCAGATTCCTCTACCAGCCACTGGGGAAGTGACAGTGTCTGGATAGTGAGACTGCTGGAGACAGTTTTCTATGCAAAGTCTGATACTCCGGAAAAGGGAAAATAAATAGTGACCTGACTGAAGGAACAAGCCATAAAGAGAGAGCACCTGGAGAAAGAGTGAGACGCGGCAGGGCGTTCAAACAAGCACGTGTCATATCTGGAAAAAGCTAATTCCCAGAGCAGCCAGAAAGCCTACTAGCAAATGGACCCCATGACAAAGCCTCCTCTCTTAGCAGCAGTCCAATTCAAATAGAAACTGAATAAATAAAGGACTACAATGAAACTAACTTATACATGACGATAATGAAAACCAAATATACACCTTTGTAGTATGTGATTGTTATTATTCTTAACTAAATATATACACATAAGAGTTCTGCATACAAATGTTTCTATCCTGTTTAACACATTATAGACATTGATCACTCCTCATTTAAATGTACAACAGGTTAGTTAAACACCGAGCTAGTTTTAAGACTGTACAGTTATGACATGCCTGGTTAAGTAAATCTGTTTCTTGCTATGTTGTTTTAAACAGAGGTATTCCTGGAAGCACTCTTAATGTTGCTGGCATAAGTTCAAACAACCCAAACTTTTATAGAACATCAATCAACCATCCCTTTCAATTTAAAGAGACAATAAAGTGCAAGTAGTCATAAGACCGTTCAGATAAAAGTGCCAACTTAAGAACAGTACTCAAGAGGGTAAAAAGGAAGTGATCTCTAAAACCACCACAGAGCAGTGTAAAAATTAAAGTGAGAATTTAACTTTCACTACATGTTCTGTTCCCTCTTCTTGGTGTCTGCAGCCAGGATCTTCTTTTCTCTCTTCTTGGTGTCTGCAGCCAGGAGATATTATGATTAAGATGAGCCAATGTACTGCCTCCTCACATGTTTTTTAAGATACAAACATCTACTATAACACAATAAAATAATCAATAATAATAGAAATATTTGATAACAAAAATCAAATAAATAATCAGCATCAATTTCAATGCATAATAAGAAATTCTGTCACATGATAGAAAAAGGCTTAGGAATAGATTTTCAGAATACACACACACACACACCCCGACCAAATTTTCATGAGAGATTTTCATTTGGAGTCAGAATTTCATTAAGAGATATCAGATACTGAACTTTTCTGAAAATCTGGGCTACAAACCTTGGAACCAAATTTGTATAAAGCCAGAATAACTTTATGTATCTAAGTTGTTCCACTGACTTCAACAAGACTATTCAGTTGCAAATATATTTGCAGGATTGGGCCATGCTTCTGATCTAATTTAAATCAGTCCTAACTCCAATAAATCCAATGAAGTTACACTGGTGCAAGGTAAATTAGAATGAGGTCCATAATTAAGAAAAGAATGGCTCACTTGTCCTATTAAGTGCAATTAACAATATTTTGTGAAAAATCGGTGGTTGAAAACAGTGGCATCATTAGTTATTTCATCACTTTTCATTGAAAATTATTACAAAACTAGGTTGAATTTTGCTCACTGACTATATGAACGTGACTTATTTACTGACTTCTAATTATATGAGAAGACACTTAAGGGGCTATTCTTTGGAGTGAATGAAAACACATTATCACAAGAAAATGCAGTATCAGAAAGGTATTTATATAATGCAGAAGTGAAGCAGGGAAATGAGATATAGCAGCTTCCTGTCAGTGATAGTCTGAGATCAGTAAAGCTTCAATGGAATCTGAAAGTGCAAAAAGATGAAAGTAAACAGAATATAGTCTGTTTGTGGCCTTTTCCTAGCAAAAGTCACTGACACTTTACAAGACAAAAATCTCAAAAGAGCACATGATAAAAAGGTTGGGAATGTTGATCAGAATTTCCCTAACGGACACATGTATTTTAAAAGCATGGCCATAAAACTGGATTTCTACAGACAGTGTTGCATCTTAGATGGGGTTAATATTTGGTCCCGATTTTCTTCATACTTTTCTATCATTTTCTGCATGTCATTGTCCGCCTGAATCACCTTGAAAACAAGAAAATGAAAATTAGAATAAGAGGCCCTGTAGAAATCTGCTGTATTTTTTCCCCAAAAATCATTCAGTTTACTAGCATTTGAAAAGCAAAACAATATTACTATTGTGTCTCAAAATGAACTACTCTGAAGAATTTGGTAAATTTGTTTTCAAGTGCAGGGCTTGGGATGAGGCTTTACAAGCAATGCTCACTATCCCAAAAATATTAGTACAAGCACAATCTATTTTTCTAATGCAACACTTGAGAATTAAAATTCTCTTTGTGTAGTACAGGTTGAGCCTCTCTAATCCGGCACTGTCTGGTCCAGCAACATTCATGATCCAGCATGATTTAGTGACACCAATGTCTATTTATCATGGGTGTGGCCAAGTTTCCTGTGAACCCCTAAAGTTTGTTTATAGCCACCAGTCCTGGCTCTCAATGTTCTATTATTTAGCTCTAATTTACCCCTAAAACATCTTCTAAGAGCCCAGAAAGAAGTGGAAATGTTGGTAATGTTGCTAGACAATATTGACCTCCCATGGTAAGGCAAATTCTCTGGTTTGGCACCCGTCAGATCCCAAGGGTTCAGGACTAGAGAGCTTCAACCTGTATTTGCTTATTTGGTTACAGCTGATAAATATACACTTACAAGTACTGGAGAAGGAACTTTACACAGTGTTTGTTTAATGAGCCACTCCTCATAGAGTTGATGGATAGCTTCTAAATATTCCTGTAAAACATCATTAAAAACATACATTTACAGAGCTGAAACTCACTGCAGTTTCTGTATTTATATTGTTTAAACTACTCCAAATCAGCTACGAGGTCAAGGACTTCAACCACATGCATATAAAAGCGAAAGCTACCATCAAACACTTGATACTAAAATCCAGATTTCAGACATGGTTTGACACAAAAGGCAGGTCCTTATTATCCAGTGCATTGTGATTTCAGCATCCAGTTTTCATCCAAAATTCAATTTGACCAAAGTTACAGATTTTTAAGGCCAAAAGGAACCACTGTGATCATCTAGTCTGACATCCTGTCTAGCACAGGCCAGACCTACCCTAAAATAATTCCTATGAAGCATCTGTTTTAGTCCCCAAGCTCCAATTTACCATCTGAGCTCCAACTAGCAACATCCATCCCATGGGATGCCATTGCTGCTTCATGGTGAACACACACAGACTGAGCAAGTGGAATCTTAATTTCTTTCTATAGTCAGTGACCACAACCCTGGTGTAAGAGGATTTAATCTACCCTGGATCTAAATCTATTAAACCAATGGGAGTTGAGTGCTCTCAGCACCTTGCAGGATCAAGATCTTTGTTTTAACTCCCGTGGGAGGAGTCTGACTTAAGTCATACACAGAGATAAATACCATGGACAGCAAAGGAAAGGATGTAAGAGAACACTGAAAGGAACACGCACTTCAGAGCTGTCTTTTATGTGGATATGTTTTTCTAACATTCCCAGTTGATCTTCTACTTCCACTCACCTCCTTTAAAAGCATTTTTGCTTGTCAGCAGCTATTAGATTTTCATGGAGAGGACTTAACCTTTCATTCACTATAGGCTTTTTCCTCAGTAACAGAGACAGACACTGCAAAGTGCAACAAATGATGTCTCTTCAAAGTCACTGTAGTAAAATAATAGCTAGGGCTTATTCACCTAGGGGACATTTCACATGGCTCAAAATTTAGCTCTTGGCTTTTATCTCACCATACATGTTCAACCTACCCAACTGCTCTTACTAAATCACCTTACAATAGAAGCACTTTAATGATAGGCAGCACATTCCCTCTCTTACCCCATTTATACCTGGCTTAGGGATTCATTTCAAAATATCTGTTTGAAGCTAGGGCCTCACATAAACTGTTTATGAGATGCAGTAATCTAATTGTACAGCTTATTTTTATTAGATTCCTATGTCACTACGTGCTGGATTTTTCCAACACTGCCCATGCCCCACAAGAAGGCAAACACCTGCAAGGGCATTTTACAAGGCCCTGAACTCTAATGCATACAGCTGATGAAGGTTGTACATGTAAATGTTTTTCGTGCATGCTCTCATACTCAAGGGGCTCCTATTCAAGAAGTGCATGTGGAAAAGGAGAACAAGCAGACACTCTTAAAATGGTGGTGATAGCTCTCTCTCTCTCTCATGTTCAAACTGTATTATACTGACTTACCAGAACTGCAATCCTAGAGGACTTGATAGTCACTGTCCAAAATTATTTTGATTTTTAAATAAGAATTGATTTGTCTTGACTAAGCTACAATGAACCCTTCACGTTCTTCCTAATACTAAACTGCACCCATTAGTGGAAACAGTTGGATTACATTGTGGCAAGGCCCTGACTTATCAATTGACTCCAGTATACATTTTTATATTTAGAGGTAGAGAGGCTACAGATTGAAAGCTTTGAAGATATAGACATCCTAAGCCTCTGCTCTACCATGAAGAACAATTCCCTTACCATAGCAATGATCTTTTCCTCTTTTCTGCATCTATTCTTTAATCTCTCATAACAAGTTTCAGGAGAAGTCTGTAGATAAACTGCCATTAACAAAAAAAAAAATTGGAACAGTTATTTTCAGGGGTAAGTTAGAACATAGCAACAGAGCACTCATCTCCTCCATAACCAATAAAAGAATCATCTGTGGTACACATCTCTGATATGGGCATCAGCTACAAACAGCCACAGTAGCTCCACTGATAGCCAATCTGACACCAGTGGACTTGCTCTTGGAGGAAAGTAATCACCTCCAAACACCATGGATATATAGAGATGAAGAATAGCAATGTAACAATAGAACAAATATTCCAAAGGCATTACTGCTGTTTAACATGTACAATATAAGGCATTTCTTGAATTACAGGAAATAAATAGCAAAGGTTTCTTTTTCATAATACAAAATTTTAAAAACCCCCACAAAAACCTTGATTTAAGAAGGGCCCAGTGTCAGAGATGAGCATATTTTACCTATCAAATCAACTGAAACATCAGTGTTCTTCGTGATCCATTCAAACCATTCAGTTAGCACTATGTAATCCACTTCTGGCATTCTCCCACTGCAATAATCAACAAGAAAATGATTGTATTACCTATTTCATTACAAAACCATACACAGTGCAACAGAGGGCCTGAATCTGATCTCACATGATCTGATACCTTTCACCTCACTAGAATTACTCCTGATTTCATAGAAGATTGGGTTCGAAGAGACCTCAGGAGATCATCTAGCTCAGGAGTCTGCAACCTATGACTCCTGAGCCAAATATGGCTCATTAGGGAGGCAGATATGGCTTTTTTGCTGCTTGAGCTCATCCCCCATCCTGCTCCTCCCACAGCAGGGAGCCCATACTGGCACTCCAGCCTTGAGGTCTCCTGCAAGATTGGAGCTCCAGTGCAAGATTGGTGGGGAGAGGAGAAAGCCCTGAGCCTCCCTGGTGGATCTGGCTTGTGGAAAAAGTGGAGCCAGAAGTGGCTGCATGCGCTGCCACTTCCCTTCCCTGGCTGGGGGAAAAGCAGCATGTGGCTGTGCTTCCTGAAGGCTTTCCCCACTGCTCCCACTGGCTAGAATCTGGCCAATGGGAGCAGCAGGAGGCCATGCCTGGGACCAGCATAGGGCACAAAAGAAAGTAAGTTCTTCCCCACTCCCTCATGCCCAGACCCCACCAGCCTCCCACACATACGCCTCACTCACCTCCTCCATTGAGCCCCTGCATTCCCAGCCCACTCCTGCACCTTCTCCTGCTTCTGCACCCTCTCTCCTGGCCAGACGCCTACTCCTAGCCCACTCCTGCCCCCTCCCCCTTGGTCTAGGGTACCTCCAACATGCTCCTGCCCCCCCACCCCCACTGGCCAGACACCCTACTCCCAAGGTTGCTCCTGTACCCTCCCTCCTGGCAAGGCTCTGTCCCCTCCCTTACTCCTGCCCTCTTCCCCGCCAGTCATACACGCTACTCACAGCCTGCTCCTGCATCCCACCTCCTGCCCATATCCTGCACCCCCATCCCTATCCCACCCAATGGCAGCACTCCTGTCCTGAACACTTAACCTCTCATTTTTGGCCCCACCCCAAAGCTTAGAGTGGGCCACAAAATCCACTAAATCTGGAACCCCAGAAGAATTAATCTGGCCTGAGGCCTTGAACTTCAGTCCTCCCTGCCCCTCACCCTACCATGGGGCTGGAGTGAGGTATTTCATTTGGGGGGTCACATCAGTGGGGGTTGCGGGTTTTGGAGGGTTGTGTGGTCCCCAACTGATTTTTCTATGAGTCAGTGGTCCCCAATTCAAAAAATATTCTCCACCCCTGCCATACATAAAGGCAACATTGTGTGTTAGACATAATATTTTCCTCTATTTAAAATGAAGCCTTGCCATCAAAGCCCCAATCGGGACCCAGCTCCAATCAAAGCCCAGCCCCCACCAGGCCACAGCATCCTGTCCCCGGATCCCAATCCCGGGACAGGCCCTGCAGTCTGGCCCCCATCTGGCTGCAGGAGATCCCGGGACAGGCCCTGCACTCTGGCCATCTGGCTGCAGGAAGGGCTAGTGACGGCCCCCCTCTTGCTGCAGCATGGGTAGGAGCGGAGGCCATGATCAAACTCTGGTGATCCTGGCCTGGCCCGGCCCCTCATCTAGCCACTGCTGCCTGAGTGCAGCAGCCCAGACAGGTAAGGCGATCCAGACTCAGGGTCCCTTCCCCTGCACTTAGTCTATTTTCTACCCCCAGCGCCCTGCCCTGTCCCCTGCATCTCCCACACACTCCAACCTCCTGCCCTGAGCCCCTCCTACATCCCAATACTGACTCCTGCACCCACAAATCCACAAACTGCAGCCCCAGCAGCAGTTCCATTAAATAGTCTGAGTACAATGTTTCATTTATGCTATTATTAATAATTATGTCAATCATCAATAATATTAAATAGTATATTTTCAGTCATGCAAATGGGCATTCTTCTACAGCTCTTTGCTGACCACTTGTTCTGAATTTCGATGTACTTTGGCTCTTTGGTTTGAAAAGGTTGCCGACCCCGATCTAGTCCAACCTCCTGCTCAAAGCAGGACTAACCCCAACCAGGGTTTTTTCAAGCATTGCTTTAAAAACCTCTAAGGATGGAGATTCTACCACTTCCCTAGTCAACCGGTATAAGTAAACTCTAGACCCATAATGTCTCTAATCTCAGAATTATAGTTCACAGGTCAGACATAAGAAAAACATGTTTAAAAATGAAATAGTCTTGTATAAACTTAAGTTTTAACAATTTTTCTCACACAAATTAGTGTTTTGCTATTTCACAAAAGCACAGTTATACTTGGTGAACTAAGCAGGAAAATGTTATATCAATATCTATATGGCAGCAGTAAACTAGCATCAGCGATATTACTACAATTTTTCATAGTAGGACTGTTACGAATGTATTCAAACTGTTGCACGCCATGCTGCAATGAAGGTTTGATTGACAAAGCAACATCAACCATTTGTTACAGTTGCAAAAAAAAAAGGCAAGAATAATAATGGCATCTGGTAAATTAGACTTTACTTTCCATGTGAGAAGTATTTATTAGGATGGAGGGCTGTTGAAATATTCAGGAAGGTTAATTTGAGCTCCACATTCATCATACAGTGAAAGCAAAATTGTAGAGAACTATCCCAAAATCATCTTGATAAGAACAAACAGGAAGACATTAAATTGATGCAAATAAGTCAACAGAAAATGTGTATAGTAAGAGTTAAATATCAAGTTAATACTTTTTTAATTAAGCTATTTTCTCTATGAGCACCGAAAAGTATACCTTCTTCTAAATGACTGCAAGAACGAAACACAAAAAGTAATTACTGGTGAACTCCAACTCCTGTTATACCTATGACCATTTGCAGCTTTCAGATGGCTTTAAAAGAGATAAATTTCTCTGCCAGTCTTTTGGCAACGTGTTTTGGTAAACCAAGAATAAAAGAGCAAAGCTTGCAGAAATACTACTACCCTCATTCTTTGTTTGTCATCCAAATTAACAGCTTGCCTCCACAATTTGGAAAAAGACAAAGGGAAGGGTAACAATTTGCTGTGAACAAACAACTGTTGTTTTTCAAATACCCTTAACTAGGAAATGTTTTCATGTGTCACCTTCCACAATGATTTTAGAAAGGTTATATTTTAAATACAAGTGAGGGGAGGAGACAAAAAAACCAAGTTTGAGTCTCTCCCTCCCCCCTCGCATCCAACATATGAGAAAAAGAGAAAGAAGACTGGAAAGAAATAGATACACAAAAAAAATCCAGAATTAAATATATTCTGCAATGGGAAGCCAATTCTGAAAACTTCTCCCATGCTCAGGCATTAATTTCAATGGCACTACTCAAGTAAATAATTGGAATACTTTGTATAAGCATTCTGGATCAGGCTCATGAAAAATAAAGGTCATGTCTAAGGCCAGTTCTACACTACCAGAGAAAGTAGACCTAAGATACGCAACTCCAGCTACGAGAATAGCATATCTGGAGTCGACACCCCTTAGGTCAAATTTCTGCAGCATCCCCACTGTGAGAGGTTGATGGGAAGAACTCTTCTGTCAACTTCCCTTACTCCTCATGACCTGGTAGAGTAACAGGACCCATGGGAGCACCATCAGCGGTTGTTTTAGCAGATCTTTACTAGACCTGCTAAATTGAATCCCGAGAAATCAATCTCTGGATCATTGATCTCGGGGTAAGTGAGGACAAGCTCTAAGATGAAAGGTACCAGAAGTTCTTCTATATCAACTGAAATCTTGCTGATCAGGATATGACACTTCCAGGTAAAAGTTCTCATTTTAAGAGTACATAGGAACGGTAGCAATTTCCTAACTCAACTACGAATCTGATTTCAAATGGAAAAATTAATTTAATTATGATTCACAGTGGGAAAAAAAAAATCACACATTCAAATGCATATGTATATAATTGTGAAATCCCAAATACGTGCTTCTATTTCAATGCTAAATACAGAGTAATAATAATGATAATACAGAACCATTTGCGTTTCTGTGGTGACTTTCATCACAGAATCTCATGGCAAATGCAAATGAATGGAACCTTGTAACATTACTGTAAATATTCTCTCTGCAGTTTTTTGCTGCTGCACAGCGTGTTAGTGTGTGGACTTTCAAAGTCACTTTGAGTAAACAGTACTGCTGGGAAAAGCACCCGAATTTCTTAGCTCCCAGTCTCTTGTTCAAACAATGAGAAAAGGAAGGAAGCATGTTTAGACTAGAACAGTGTTTCCCAGTTTTATTTGGCCATGGAACCCTTTTAAACGCGAAAGAATTTTGTGGAACCCCTAACAACAGTCTCATATATGGAGCTGAAAAAAATCGACCACAAATAAGTAAGGATAATAAAAAACAAATGCTAAACAAGGTCATGAGATCAACATTTAGTTTAATTGCACATATTTAAAAACAAAAATCACATAATATGAATTATTTTTTTTAATCATAAAATGTTATTGGAATTTTCTCACAGAACCCTTATTTTCACTTCACGGAACCCCGGGATTCTGCAGAACACCATTTGGGAAACACTGGACTAGAGATATGGAGCTCCATTTGTTCAGCGGCGTTGAATCAGGGACTCAAACTATGCCCTCTTTCTATTAGCAAAGCATAACCTATGTTATACTGAATGCCTATCCACCTCTGAGCAGTCTGGGTCTATTTAAAAAAAATACAAGGTTCCCTTTTTATACACACATTTTAACAAGTTCACCTTCCATGTAATCCCCTTAAATAAATACCTCCTTCTACAAATATTAAACTAGGAGCCCCACTTCTGCCATCCAATTTTTATACTTACCAATCTTTGCTGGAAAGGTTAGTTGAATAACTTGGACCTGGACCTCAGCATTTTAGCAGCCTGAACCTGAAGATGCAACTCCAGTTGACCTGGTTTTCTGGATGCTCAGTATAGCACTAAGCAACAGATTCCATTAATATGCCATTGTCAACCACTGTTGGGTTCCCTTTATGGCTCAATTTACTTAAGACAGCTGATTTATGGCTTGCTTATGGATATGGATATTTACACCTT